GTAGGTGTAAAATAAAATAAGCTGTTCCACTGCTGGATTATATATTTTTATTTTTTTCCGCCTCAGGGCGACCGCTTGCGTTGCGATCGAAACGTCGTGATTTATTTTATTTTATACCTAAGTGACTTTACCGAAAGAACCAAAGAGTATGGATTCCTGCAGTCACGAAAGCTTCAAATCACGATTACAATTGCTTCCAGTACAGGGTTAAATGTACTTACATGTACACACATACACGCGTACTCAATCACGCATATGTAAAACGTGAACACGTTCTAAATATTTTTAAAATAAATATCTGGTGCAATTATGAACTTGTGGAAACAAGTTTACGTGTACACACTCAAAACAGTCTGCATCAGCAGTAGGCTGTGCTTTCCCACCTGATGACGGACGCTTGTGTTGCGCCCGAAATGTCGTGATTTAATTTAGTTCTTTTCATTTATTTTATACCTACGTGACTTTACCGAAAAAAAAACAAAAAAGTACACTCAAAACTGCATATCACACGACACAATTGTCACTTACAGACGTGGTGGTGTATGTCAGAACTTGTAGACACGAGATAAAAGTGTACATACACGTGCACACACATTTGTGGACACTCAAATCTACATATCCCACGTGTACACATACGTCACAATGCCCACTTCCTTACCACGACGAATTGCAGCTACGGTGCGTGTCTGAGCTTGCAGACGCAGGCAGTGACAAAGGTAAAGATCCCCTATGTAGCCTTGTAGACTGATGGGGCAAGTGCTGTTGGCGAACCCCTATGAAGGCCGACACGGCACACGAGGCTGGTGCTGTAGCGAACACCACGTCCGGCCGCCTTTGTCTCCCCGGTGTCGTTAAAACACCGCACCAGGTCCTAATTTATGAATGAGTCGAGTTAACATTGAGGATGTTCAGATATGCGTTGGTCACTGAACTGTTATTGGTCGTGAGCGGGAATCGAACTCAGGTCGCTGGCTTCGTCGCGCAGTGCGCTAACCACGGCACCACCGCTCCCTACACACACAGCCACTCAAAGCACACACGACCCACTCGTACACGCGCAATCACACACACACACTCTCACACTAAGACGCCCCGGTGTAGCCTTCACCAGACTGTAGGGGCAAGTGCTGTTAGCGAGCACCTATGAAGGCCGGCACGGCACACGAGGGGGTGGGTGGCCAGCGCCACGCCCGGCCGCCTTTGTCTCCCCAGTGGCGATATTTTTACACACCGCACCCAGCTACTCATTTGAGGCTGAGTCGACCTAGGGGATGCCCATGACGGGAGATACTCGCGCACAAACACAAGCACATTACACACATACACGCACATCAAACACACACACGCGCACATCAAACACACACACGCACATCACACACACGCAAATCACAACACACATCACACACGCACATCACAAACACACACCGCACACACACGCCACACACATACACCACACGCACACACAAACACGCACGCACACACACCACACACCGCACACACACCACACACACGAACCACACACACACACCCACACACACATCCCCACACACACACACCCACACAAACGCACCCACACACACGCACCGCACACACGCACCACACACACCGCACACACGCACCGCACACACGCACCACACACACAAGCACCACACACACACGCGCCAAACACACACGCACCACACACACACGCACCACACACACACGCACCACACACACACACACCATACACGCGCACGCACATCCACAAAACTCGTGCCCAGCCCCCTTGAGCCCCCCCCTCTCCGCCCGTCTCCCGTGAGCGCGGCGGCGGCGAGGGTGGCCCGCAAGGTGCGGAGCGGAGTCCGTGGCCGTGGAGTCCGTGCGGAGTGGAGTCTGTGCGGAGTGGAGTGGATTCCGTGGCCGTGGAGTCGGCGATCGCCCGAGGAGGGGAGGGTGCACAGAGGAGGAGGGGGTCCAGAGCATGTGTATACAGTGTGTGTGTATGTGTGTGTATGTGTGTGATGTGAATGTGTGATGTGTGTGTGTGTGATGTGTGTGTATGTGGTGTGATGTGAATGTGTGTATGTGTGTGATGTGAATGTGTGTGTATGTGTCAATTTCCTGGCTCCGCCAATTGGGGTTTGGCCAGGAGGAGAGGCTGACACTCCTTTGTCGGGAGCTGGACCGGTACCGCCTGGATCTCTGTGGCATTCAGGAGGTCCGGTGGACCGGTTCTGGCTCCTGCCACCATGAGGGGTGGACAGTCCTCCACTCGGGGCAGGAGACTGCCAAACAACAGGGTGTGGCTCTTCTTCTGAACAAAATAATGAAGGGGGCGTGGGAGCGTGGAGGTGAGGTGTGGGAAGCTGTAAGCCCCAGGATACTTTGGGCTCGCCTTCCCATCAACCGGAGGCGAGGAGTGGTGGTCGTGGTTACTTATGCCCCCACCGAAGACGAACATCCGTGGAGGGATGCAGGCAAAGCCGATGAGTCAGATGCCTTCTATGACCTCCTGTCACAGGTGCTGGCTAAAGTGGCTACTCGGGACAGAGTCATCTTGTTGGGTGACTTCAATGCTCGAGTTGGCCATGATGCTGGCACCTGGTCTGGAGTGATTGGAAGGCATGGGCCAGATCAGCTCAATAACAACGGTAGGAGGCTGCTAGATTTCTGTGCAGCCCATGGGCTTGTAATGATCAACACGCTGTTCCGGCATCGGCGCATCCTCACAACATTATGGATGCATGCCGGGTCCAAGCAAGAACATCTGCTGGACTACATAGTGACGGACCAGCGGATGCGAGCCCATGTCCTTGACACCAGCACCTACCATGGAGCTGATCTGTCCTCTGACCATCGACTAGTCATCTGTAAGATGCGCCTGCCATTCTTCCACTCCGGTGGTAGGTCTACACCCAAGACCCCATTCCAACCTAAAGTGGCCTGGTCTCAGTTAGCTGATGAAAGTTGAAAGCGAGAATTTCATCATCGCTTGCAGCTGAGGTTGGCATCGTCCCCCACTCCACCTGATGTCGAGGGTAAATGGGCGAGGTTTAAGACTGTGACTCATTCAGCTGCAATGGCTGCTTTGGGTACGCGGTCCAGACCTCCCCAGAAACCCTGGCTGACAGAGGAGGTGTTCAGGTTAGTTGAGAAAAAGCGACAGGCCCACTCTCATCGGCTACAGCATCCCACGTCAGAGAATGAGGAGGTTTACCGCAGCCTTCGCTCGGAGGTTCGGAGAGCCGTAAGGCGCTGCAAGGATGGGTGGTGATCGCGGGTTGCTGAGGAGATGGAGTCTGCCTCAGTGGCCCACGATCACAAATCCCTAATTAACTCCATCAAAAAAGTTACCTACAGCGCCACACCTATTACCATCATTAGGGGAAAAACGGTGATCCAATCTCCGACCCTCAGAAACAGGTTTGCAGATTTGCTGAGCATTTCTGTGAGGTCCTGGGGGAGGGGAAATCCCTCAGCCAGGAAAACATCATGGCACAAAGTGGGGATAACCCTGCTGAGGCTGCGGTGCCTCAAATATTGGAAGAGGTCACCCCCTGTGAGTGGCTGGCTGAGGTGCCATCTGTTGAGGAAGTACTGAAGGCGATCCGGAGTCTGAGACCAGGAAAGGCACCGGGCAGAGATGATCTCCCAAGCGAAATGCTCAGGGAGGGTGGCATTTGTGCACAGACTGCCCTATATGACATCATAACAACAGTCTGGACCACTCGACGGGTTCCGCAGGATTGGAAGGATACCCTGGTGGTCCCCCTCTTTAAGAAGGGGGACCGCACAGACTGTAACAACTACAGGGGCATCTCACTCCTCAGTGTGCCGGGAAAGGTCCTGGCAAGGATTATTCAACATCGCCTTGCTAGGCACGCTGAGGAGAGGCTTGCGGAGCCCCAATGCGGTTTCAGAAAAGGGCGGTCCTGCACAAATGCCATATTTTCTCTCCGTCTGCTACAGCAGAGGTGTAGGGAATTCCAACAAGACCTACATCTCTGCTTTATTGACCTGGTTAAGGCCTATGATACCATCAGTAGACCTGTGCTGTGGGTTGTTCTTCGTGCTTTCGGAGTCCCTGACCCTCTGCTCATGATCATTCATGATGGTGAGCGGGCCCGGGTAAAACTACGTGGCCGGGAGTCAGAGCCTTTCCCTGTACACCTTGGGGTGCGACAGGGATGTCCTCTGGCTCCCACATTATTTAACATCTATTTTGACCACGTAGTTCGTGAAGCCTTCAATAGCTCTTCCGGGGGAATTTCCATTTGGTACAGATATAATGGGAGGCTGATCGATGCCCGGGTGCTATCAAGGGATGGCTCCCTCTTGGTCAACCACGTTATGTATGCCGATGATTTGGTAATAGCTGCTCATTCAGAGGAGGAGTTGGAGACGCTGCTGCTGAGACTGGAGCGTGCCACTAAGAGGTGGGGCCTTACCATCAGCCCCACCAAAACTAAGCACCTGCCTGGGTATTTTGTACCATCGGACACTCCACCCCCACAACTCCCAATCGGTGATGGGCAGTAGTGGAGAGAGTGGAGAGTTCCCCATACCTGGGCAGTGTGCTTATGACCGGCTCCAGTTTAACAGCAGAGGTCTCACTCCGAATCAGTCGAGCGGCAATATCTTTCCATCGGTTGCGTAACGCTGTGTGGAAGCTACCTGGTCTGTCACTCCGCACGAAGCTTCAGGTCGTCTCGGCCACAGTCATTCCCTCCCTTCTCTACGCTTGCGAAACGTGGACCCCCCTAATGGAACATTTTCGCCGGTTGGAAACATTTAGGCTGGCCTGCCTACGATCCATCCTGGGTTTAACCAGGCTGGATTGTGTGAGGAGCTCACAAATCCTTGAAAGATCTGGGCAAAGTTCCATCGGTGAGCTCCTCCGGTAGGTAAGGATGCGTTGGCTGGGTCATGTAGCCCGCATGCCCAGCCACCGCATGCCTAAACAGCTTTTGTTCGGCTGGATCGAGGGGGCTAAACGGGCGTGGCACGGGCTAGAGAGGAGATGGAGTGATGTGGTACAGGAGGACGTGGAGCTGAGTGGACTTGCCGATGACTGGTACCAGCGGTGTCAAGATCGGCCTCTGTGGAGGAGGCTCGCGAAGGACGCTACTGGGCAGTTGGAGGCAGTCGCCCTCCAACAACAACGGAGAGCGGAGGAGCGACGCTCACAACAACGAGCGGAGCGCCGGGTGTCTAAAGCACAGCAAGTTGGCACAGTAGGGGGCACAGGTGGTGCATCAGCCAGTCATCTCGGTCATCTCAGTCAGTCAACCCGTGGCATCTGGGTCTGCCCCGTGACCTGCCAGCAGGCGTTCGACACTTCACGTGGCCTCAAGGTGCACATGGCCTGGCACAAGCGTCGTGGTGACGTCACCGCCACTTAGTGGCGAATGGCGGTTGTTGCTGTTGTTGTGTGTGACTGTGTGTGTATGTGTGTGATGTGAATGTGTGTGTATGTGTGTGACTGTGTGTATGTGTGAATGTGTGTGACGTGTGTGATGTGAATTTGAGTGACTGTGTGTGATGTGAATGTGTGTGTGAGATAGATGCGTGTAGTGTATGATGTATGCGTGTGGGATAGATGTGTGTGTACTGTGTGATGTGTGCCAGACAGATGTTTAGTGTTTGAGATGTGTGTAGTAGCTGTCCTGTGTGATGTGTACTGTGTACTGTGTGTAGTTTATGATGTGTGAGATAGATGTTTAGTGTTTAAGATGTGTGTTGACACTGTCCTGTGTGATGTGTGTGTGATAGGTGTGTGTAGTTTATGATGTGTGTATGTGTGAAATAGATGTTTAGTGTTTGAGATGTGTGTAGTAGCTGTCCTGTGTGATGTGTACTGTGTACTGTGTGTAGTTTATGATGTGTGAGATAGATGTTTAGTGTTTGAGATGTGTGTTGACACTGTCCTGTGTGATGTGTGTGTGATAGGTGTGTGTAGTTTATGATGTGTGTATGTGTGAAATAGATGTTTAGTGTTTGAGATGTGTGTAGTAGCTGTCCTGTGTGATGTGTACTGTGTACTGTGTGTAGTTTATGATGTGTGAGATAGATGTTTAGTGTTTAAGATGTGTTTTGACACTGTCCTGTGTGATGTGTGTGTGATAGGTGTGTGTAGTTTATGATGTGTGTATGTGTGAAATAGATGTTTAGTGTGAGATATGTGTGGTCACTGTCGTGTGTGATGTGGGAGATGTGTATTTGTCTTAACAGGTCCTAGGCCTCCCTTAGGTTGACTCAGCCTTAAATGAGTACCTGGTGCGGTGTATAAACAGCATTGGGGAGACAAAGGTGGCCAGGGATAGTGTTTAGCCACCACCCACCCTTTCAAGTGCCGTGCAGTTCATATACTTGGGATCTTTGTCTTCGTGTGTGTGTAGTGTAGTGTGTAGTGTAGTGTGTGTGTAGTGTGTGTGTGGTGTGTGTGTAGTGTGTGTGTAGTGTGTGTGGGGTGTGTAGAGTGTGTGTAGTGTGTGTAGTGTGTAGTGTAGTGTGTGTGTAGTGTGTGTGTAGTGTGGGGCGTGTGTGTGTGTGTAGTGTGTGTGTGTAGTGTTTGTCTTCGTGTGTGTGGTGTGTGTGGTGTGTGTGTGTAGTGTGGGGCGTGTGTGTGTGTAGTGTGTGTGTAGTGTGTGTGTGTAGTGTGTGTGTGGGGCGTGTGTAGTGTGTGTGTGTAGTGTGTGTAGTGTGTGTGTAGTGTGTGTGTGTAGTGTGGGGCGTGTGTGTAGTGTGGGGCGTGTGTGTGTGTAGTGTGTGTGTGTAGTGTTTGTGTAGTGTGTGTAGTGTGTGTAGTGTAGTGTGTGTAGTGTGGGGCGTGTGTGTGTGTGTGTAGTGTGTGTGTAGTGTGTGTGGTGTGTGTGTGTGTAGTGTGTGTGTGTAGTGTGTGTGGTGTGTGTAGTGTGTGTGTAGTGTGTGTGTGTAGTATGTGTGTGGGGCGTGTGTGTAGTGTGGGGCGTGTGAGTGTGTAGTGTGTGTGTAGTGTGTATGTAGTGTGTGTGTGTAGTGTGGGGCGTGTGTGTGTAGTGTTTGTGTAGTATGTGTAGTGTGTGTAGTGTAGTGTGTGTAGTGTGGGGCGTGTGTGTGTGTGTGTAGTGTGTGTGTAGTGTGTGTGGTGTGTGTGTAGTGTGTGTGTGTAGTGTGTGTGTGGTGTGTGTAGTGTGTGTGTAGTGTGTGTGGTGTGTGTGTGTAGTGTGTGTGTGTAGTGTGTGTGTGGGGCGTGTGTGTAGTGTGGGGCGTGTGAGTGTGTAGTGTGTGTGTAGTGTGTATGTAGTGTGTGTAGTGTGAGGCGTGTGTGTAGTGTGGGGCGTGTGTGTGTGTAGTGTGTGTGTAGGGCGTGTGTCGTGTGTGTGTGTAGTGTGGGTCGTGTGTGTGGTGTGTGTGTGTAGTGTGTGTAGTGGCGTGTGTGTAGTGTGGGGCGTGTGTGTGTGTGTAGTGTGTGTATAGTGTGGGGCGTGTGTGTAGTGTGTGTGTGTAGTGTGTGTATGTAGTGTGTGTAGTGTGTGTGTGATGTGTGTGTGTAATGTGTGTGTGTTTGAAAGATGTAGTGTGTGTGACGTGTGTGGGAGATGTGTATGTGTGCTGTGTGTATAGTTTGTGTATGGGTAGTACTGTGTATGTATGTGTCAGCTGTATATAGTGTGCGTGAGAATATGTATTGTATATCATTTGGTGTGTGTAGTGTGATATTTAATAGTAAAGCAATTTTGTGTAATGTTTTGTGTAAAGCAATACCTGCATAATGTTTTGTGGACAATATATAAAGTACATTCTTAAATGTGTAGAGTTTGCCTATTTATACTGTATCTGGAGTGTGCTTGCATTTGGTGCGAATGAGTGGGTGTCGAAAGTGCATTGTGTATGCGGTGTGTGTATATACAATACAGTACATGGAATGTGTGTGTATATTGCAGTGTTTGTAACACTGTTATATGGAATCTATAAATTTAGACTTGGAAGGTGTGTGTGTGAGTGTTAAATGTATGAGTGTGTGTTTAGTGTATCCATGTCCCGTGTACATGAGTGTTCAAATATGTGTGTGTGTCTAAAGAGAATATTGAATGTGCCTTCATTATGGGGCACATGTGATGCTACTTTACACACATGCACCGTGTGTCAAGTGTGTGTAATGTGTGGAGATGGTGTGTGTGGAGCCTATGTGATTGGGCTGTTGTTCACGTGTGTGTGTGTGGAGCCTATGTGATTGGGCTGTGTGTTCACGTGTGTGTGTGTAGATGAGTGTGTATGTATTGTGTACATGAGTGTGTGTGTGTGTTGTGTGTACATGAGTGTGTGTCTGTTGTGTGTACATGAGTGTGTATGTATTGTGTTGTACATGAGTGTGTGTTGTGTGTACATGGGTGTGTGTGTGTTGTGTGTACATGAATGTGTGCACTGTGTGTACAGGAGTGTGTATGGACTGTGTGGGCATGAGTGTGTGTGTGTTGTGTGTGCATGAGTGTGTATGTGTTGTGTGTACATGAGTATGTGTGTGTACAGTAGTGATTGTGCAACATGTACAGGGATAATTTGTGTTTCGTGACCGGAAATTGAATGTGTGTTGAGTTCGTGTGTACACAATACTGTCTGTGTTGTTGAAGTTTGATGAGAAAGATTATGAACTGTGGATCACAGAGCATATCGTGTGTGTATGGAGTGTTTGTGTAGTGACTAAGCAGTGTGCTTGTGTAAAGTGTTTGTGTGTTTTGCGTGATTGTGTAGGATGAGCCTGTATTTTACACATACATCATATCCTTGGTGTGTCAAGATTTCAATTCCTGGTCAGGGAGTCAACTCAATCCATGGTCTTCACGGATCAACAACAACAACAACAATCGAGTCGTGCAATTTCGTGGTTGTCCTATGGGCAGACGTGACCCCGTCATAGGAACAGGGAATTTCCACATAAGTTAAAGGGCTATAAATATCAGACGAGCACCGCCCCATGCTGGACTGAGCGCAATACCGCAGCGACTTTGATTTTGTGTGGAGTTTGTGCCGCTTGTGATTGTTGGACACTGTTGTTATGGTGTAATCGTGTGTCAATCGTGTGTTGTGTTGTTGTTGTTGTTGTTGTCATGTGTGTGTATGTCGAGTTCTGCTTGGAGGGTGTTGGGGGTTAAGGGGGCTTAACACGCAGTGACAAGGCGTTGTTGCACATCGTTGTGTGTGCAATTATGTGTTGCGGTGAGTGTAAATGTGGTCTTTTTGGTTTGGGGAATTGGTGTATTTTGCATTGTGAAATGTACATATGGTGTGTATCTTGTGCGTTGTGAGTGTATTGATTGGCTGTGTTTATTGCTCATTTAGTGAGTGTTTTATGTGTGGTGTGTGCATTATGTGTATGTGCGTTATGATTGTAGGTGTGCATTGTATTTAGTGTGGTGTCCTGATTTGTACTATATGTGTGTGCATTATGTATGAGTACATTGTGTATGTGTGTTTGTGTGTGCAATGTATGTCCGTTGAACTTCTTTCGCACCGCACGTAGCAAACCCGTGCTGATCTAAGTAGCTGCAGGAGTATAACGCAGCGAGTGTACACACACGTGTTCATTGTGCATATCTAGTGTGTTGTGTGTGTTTTTATGGGTGCGCGAGTGTTTTACGTGTGTTTGCATTGTGTATGTGCGTGTGTGTGTGTGCATTGTGCGTGTGTGTGCATTATATGTACGCGTGTGTGTTTATATGGGTGCGCGTGTTTTACGTGTGTGTGTGCAGTGTGTGTGTGTGCAGTGTGTGTGTGCATTGTGTGTGTGTGTGCAGTGTGTGTGTGCACTGTGTGTGTGCAGTGTGTGTGCACTGTGTGTGTGCAGTGTGTGTATGTGCAGTGTGTGTGCACTGTGTGTGTGTGCACTGTGTGTGTGTGTACTGTGTGTGTGTGCACTGTGTGTGTGCATTGAGTGTGTGTGTGCATTGAGTGTGTGTGTGCACTGTGTGTGCACTGTGTGTGTGTGCACTGTGTGTGTGCATTGTGTGTGTGTATGCAATGTGTGTGCATTATGTGTGAGCACTGTGTGTGCACTGTGTGTATTGTGTGTGTGTGCATTGTGTGCGTGTGTGCACTGTGTGTGTGAACTGTGTGTGCAGTGGGTGTGCACTGTGTGTGTGCAGTGTGTGTGTGTGCACTGTGTGTGTGTGTGCAGTGTGTGCACTGTGTGCATTGTGTGTGTGCATTGTGTGTGTGTGAACTGTGTGTGCGCTGTGTGTGTGCACTGTGTGTGTGTGCACTGTGTGTGTGTGTGCAGTGTGTGCACTGTGTGCATTGTGTGTGCATTGTGTGTGTGTGAACTGTGTGTGTGTGCACTGTGTGTGCGCTGTGTGTGTGTGCACTGTGTGTGTGTGTGTGCAGTGTGCACTGTGTGTGTGTGCGTTGTGTGTGGTGAGGGGTAGGGAAGGCTGGGCATGTCCGAGAGAGAGGGGGGGAGGGCGGGCGGCTGAGTGGTGGTGGGTACTGATATCTGTGCACAGCCAAGAAAATAAAATAGAGACAAAAAAAGAGACACGCAAGGGAGCAGCAGCAGCAGCAGCCACGGCAGTAGCAGCAACAAAAAAAATCTTGGCAAGACAATTTAACAACCACCACCACAACCAACAACAAAACCTTCCCCCCCCCACCACCACCAACTATCACAAACCCGAGAGGAGGCAACAGCAGCTACCTCCGAGTAGTGTGCCGTCTTTGTTTAGCAGCGCATTGCAACGCGCGGCGGGCAAGAAGAACATCTTTAAAAGAGAAACAACAACAACAGCAGCGGTAGCAGTAGCAGAGTGAAGAAGAAAGAGGAGGAGGGCACGAGGTGGTGGTGGTAGTAGACACGTGGTGGTAGTGGACACGTGGTGGTGGTAGTGGACACGTGGTAGTGGGCACGAGGTAGTGCTGGTAGTGGTGGGCACGTGGTGGTGGTAGTAGTGGTGGTGGTAGTGGGCACGTGGTGGTGGTGGTAGTAGTGGTGGTGGTGGTAGTAGTGGTGGTGGTGGTAGTGGGCACGTGGTGGTGGTGGTAGTGGTAACGAGGTGGTAGTGGTGGTGGTAGTGGGCACGAGGTAGTGGTGGGCACGTGGTGGTGGTAGTAGTGGTGGTGGTAACGAGGTGGTAGTGGTGGTGGTGGTAGTGGGCACGTGGTGGTGGTAGTGGGCACGTGGTGGTGGTAGTAGTGGTGGTGGTAACGAGGTGGTAGTGGTGGTGGTGGTAGTGGGCACGTGGTGGTGGTAGTAGTGGTGGTGGTGGTAGTGGGCACGTGGTGGTGGTGGTAGTAGTGGTGGTAACGAGGTGGTAGTGGTGGTGGTAGTGGGCACGAGGTGGTGGTAGTAGTGGTGGTGGTAACGAGGTGGTAGTGGTGGTGGTAGTGGGCACGAGGTGGTGGTGGTAGTGGTGGTGGTAACGAGGTGGTAGTGGTGGTGGTAACGAGGTGGTAGTGGTGGTGGTGGTAGTGGGCACGTGGTGGTGGTAGTAGTGGTGGTGGTGGTAGTGGGCACGTGGTGGTGGTAGTAGTGGTGGTAACGAGGTGGTAGTGGTGGTGGTAGTGGGCACGAGGTGGTGGTAGTGTTGGGCGAGGGGGGTGCTGCTGCTGGTGCTGCTGCTGGTGGGGGGCCAGGCTGGTAGTGGGGGGGGGGGTGCTTGGCTAAGTGTTGTAAAAGTGGGGGGGAGGGGGGGTTAGAGGGGGGGGGGGGTTCTTTTTGGGGGGGGGGTGCCGGGGGGGTTTTAGCCTCCGTGGCTTTGGCTCTTCATGGGCTGACAGGTGCCCGAGACCACGGCAGGGCACGGCAGGGAGACCTCCTCCTCCTCCACCACCACCACGACGTCTCTCGCCGGCTTCCCTCCGCGATGTACGCCAAGGGGAAGTCGGCCGTGGTGCCGTCAGACACCCAAGCGAGAGAAAAGTAAGTTTAGCTACGTCTCTTTCACTCGTCTGCCGTAGTTGTGTGTGTGGTTAGAGATGTGTGTGGATGTAGCATTGTGCGTGTTGTGTGTGTGTAGTACTCACTTTGAGTGTGTGTGTGGTTAGAGATGTGTGTATGTAGCATTGTGCGTGTTGTGTGTGTGTAGTACTCACTTTGAGTGTGTGTGTGGTTAGAGATGTGTGTAGATGTAGCATTGTACGTGTTGTGTGTGTGTGTAGTACTCACTTAGTGTGTGTGTATGTAGGGATGTGTGTGGATGTAGCATTGTACGTGTTGTGTGTGTTGGTGTGTAGCACTCACTTTGTGATTGTGTGTATGTAGAGATGTGTGTGGATGTAGCATTGTACGTGTTGTGTGTGTGTAGTACTCACTTTGAGTGTGTGTGTGGTTAGAGATGTGTGTAGATGTAGCATTGTACGTGTTGTGTGTGTGTAGTACTCACTTAGTGTGTGTGTGTATGTAGAGATGTGTGTGGATGTAGCAATGTACGTGTTGTGTGTGTGTGTAGAGTACTCAGTGTGTGTGTATGTAGGGATGTGTGTAGATGCAGCATTGTACGTGTTGTGTGTGTAGTACTCACTTAGTGTGTGTGTATGTAGAGATGTGTGTAGATGTAGCATTGTACGTGTTGTGTGTGTAGTATTCACTTTGTGAGTGTGTGTGTATGTAGAGATGTGTGTAGCTGTAGCATTGTACGTGTTGTGTGTAGCACTCACTTAGTGTGTGTGTATGTAGAGATGTGTGTAGGTGTAGCATTGTACGTGTTGTGTGTGTGTGTAGTACTCACTTAGTGTGTGTGTATGTAGAGATTGTATAGGTGTAGTATTGTACGTGTTGTGTGTGTAGTACTCACTTAGTGTGTGTGTATGTATGTAGAGATGTGTGTATGTAGCAGTGTACGTGTTGTGTGTGTGTGTATGTAGAGATGTGTGTATGTAGCATTGTACGTGGTGTGTGTGTGTGTATGTAGAGATGTGTGTATGTAGCATTGTACGTGGTGTGTGTGTGTGTGTAGTACTCACTTAGTGTGTGTGTATGTAGAGATGTGTGTATGTAGCATTGTACGTGGTGTGTGTGTGTGTATGTAGAGATGTGTGTATGTAGCATTGTACGTGGTGTGTGTGTGTGTGTAGTACTCACTTAGTGTGTGTGTATGTAGAGATGTGTGTATGTAGCATTGTACGTGTTGTGTGTGTAGGTGTGTAGCACTCACTTAGTGTGTGTGTATGTAGAGATGTGTGTATGTAGCATTGTACGTGTTGTGTGTGTGTGTGTGTAGCACTCAGTGTGTGTGTGTATGTATAGATGTGTGTAGATGTAGCATTGTACGTGTTGTGTGTGTGTGTGCTTGTTTTGGCATTTAAATGCAAAGTGGTTGTGTTATGCACGTGTCTGTAAATCGAAGCCCACGTTGTTAATGATGTTGTGTGACTGTGTACATGGGCCATGCAGTGATTGTAGATTTCCGTGAGTACTCAGTATGTGAATGTGTATATATGTGAATTGTCAGGGCATTTAAATGCACGTGTTGTTACATGCGTGGACCTGTCATCTGAAATCCGCGTTGTGAGTATACTGTATACTATGCAGTATATGTTAGCCCTGTTGGTAAATGTATTTGTACAGCATGTGCGGCATGCTAGTAGTTTGAATGTAGTTGCAGTGTGTGTGGATATGAGATGTGTGTGGTGTACTGTTTGAATGTACATTCGTATTGTACGATATATGTAACTCAATTGAATTATGCATATGATACAATGTAGGTACATGACAGTACATGACAGTATATCGTAGCTGTATGTGTGTGTAGTCATGTATGTGTAATGCATACAGCTACAGTACTGTAGTTGTGAATCTGTGTATTGTGCTCACTGAACGTGATGGGTTCCTGTGTTGTCAATGAACATACAGTATAACCTGTACACTTAAAGCTTAAATTGTGCGCACATGATGTGAATTTGCTGTGTCGGTGTACGACTGTGTTAAGTGTATGTGCACACGTGTGTGTCTTTGTGTTTACATGTTACATATGCCGTGTTAATACAGCTGGGGAGAGAACCCGTAATTGCCTGGATAGCAAGTACTGTATCTAAAGTGTGCATAATGCACTGTAAAACTCATTCTGTACACTTTAGTGTGTTCGGTTCAAGGTGTGTGTGTGTCGTATAGACAGATTTTAGTTACTTGTGTGAAACAGTTTCAAATGTGGGCATCTTCTCGAGTTAACAGTAATTACTTTCTCCACCTCCTGTATACATTACAGTGCTGTGTACACGTGCGTTGCATTGGTGTGTTGCAGGATGTCTCCAGTCCTGTATACATCAGTGCGTTATAAGTGAATGATTGTGTACAAGGGCAATGATGTAGTTAATTCAGTCTGCACACTCCAGTACTGTTTGTGTATATGAGTTCTGATGTTGGCAAGTATCAACTGCTTGTGTTTTCTGTCGGCATTTTAATTGCTTGACAGTACGCATTGTGTAATGTCTGTACTGCGAGTTTATGTACAGCACAGTACTGTATTGGTGTGTAAAGCACAGCTGAATCAGTATGCAATTGTGATTAGAGGTACAGTACACTACAACACTGTAGGCTCTGCTTTATGTTAAATGTGTTAAACTGTAATGTACAGTATACTCTTATGTTCTGAGCTGTGTGCGATGTGCTTGTCACATTGTGTGTCACCAAAAAAGTCACCGCTTGCGAATAACACCGCCTCCGAAGAGGATTAAAATATGAAATAGCCCGACGTTTCTGGCAACTGCCCTTCTTCAAAACAGGGACATCGTTCTCGACAAACGCGTTGACATTTCGTGTTGGTGTAGTTCGTGCGTGTGCACCACTGCCAACACAGCACTGTAACACGTTGCACAATGAGTTGCTGCTGTTGAACATTGAGTGTAAGACGCGTGCACGTGTTAGCGTGTGTCACGTGCACCACGTTGCACCTATTTGCAAGCGTTGCACCACCTACACTGGATGGGTGGTTCGTGCTGTTGCTGCAGCTGTCTGCAGGGACAATGCTACCCCCAGAGTGGGTTGCCCTCCTTGAACTCTGTCTAGCCACTAGGGGTTGCCCTCCACTGCCCCCCAACATTTCTTGTTGTTTGTTAACCACCACGACTGCACCCCTCTTCCACTGTTGTGCACTTTGCACCGCGCGGGCGGTGTGCGTAACTCGGGGCCAGCACGGTTGTGCGTAACTCGGGGCCAGCACGGTTGTGCGTAACTCGGGGCCAGCACGGTTGTGCGTAACTCGGGGCCAGCACGGTTGTGCGTAACTCGGGGCTAGCACGGTTGTGCGTAACTCGGGGCCAGCACGGTTGTGCGTAACTCGGGGCCAGCACGGTTGTGCGTAGCTTGAGGCGGGCGGTGTGCGTAACTCGGGGCCAGCGAGTGGCACACCGCGTGTTTAGGGTGTCCTTTGTGAGCCGTGCACGTGGGTCCGTGAGAAGTGTGTGTGTGCCCTGTTGTGGACTTTTATCCCAAGTGTTAGAGCGTGTGTGGACCGGCGACACCCGCCGTAAGGGTTAATTTGGAGTAACACACACGTCACGTATCCGAACCGTGGCGTGTATCCATCCATTCTGGTCAATTAACCGTGCACACCAAAGTGCAGCATTTACACTTTGTCTAACTCAGTTTAGTTGTTGCTACAAATGTTCTGCGGACGTGTGGTGGTGCACTAGTGTGTTGGTGGCTTGTTTTTGTCTGCACAATGAGATTGATATGGTCTGGGGATTGTTGTGTGTACAAGTAACTGCGATGTTTACGTCTGCCTACAAGAAGTTTTTGATAACAAACTAGTGACCGTGCAAGTTGTTCAAATTTACCCTTGTGCAGAAAGTACAATAATGAATCCACTCTTTGATATATGTGGCACCGCAATGTAATCTCGGCTGATGGCAATTCCTGTGTATCAACAGGAAGACGCATTCCTGCAAGTTGAAGAAAACACGAAGTGTAGTCAATAGGATGATGATTCGTGTACATACATTTACTGTACTGTAACAGTTACCTGTGACCAAATAAAACACGGTATTCACTCCCATCTCGTCATCAGATTTTAGAAGTTACGCAGAGTGAATTCAGCCTGGATAGTGCCCGGATTGGTGACCAGACTATAAGTTACGCAGAGTGAATTCAGCCTGGATAGTTGCCTGTAAGGATGACCACCATGTAGGAGATACAGTTGCAATAGGCTGTGTGGGCAGTAGAGGGCACTCACAGAAACTAAATTGTTCTCTCCCCAACCCCCACCACCACCAATTCGCACGCACCAGTGTGAACTTTCGCTAACATGTCCACAAGACACGTGGTGAGGCCCTCATCCAGGAGTGGTTTGACAAAACGAGCTGTGCATAGACCGTGGCAGTGAGTTTTGATGTGTGCAGCAGAGTGCGGTAATCTACCGCATTATGAAGATAACATCTTCGAGTGAATGAGAATCCTCGCTACTTTTGACCGCAACATTTCTCCTGGCCGAGATGAATCAACACATTACTAATATAGTGAGCCAAGAATGTGTGTGTCCCGCGCGTGACGTCACTCCACATGAGGCCCACCCCCCCGCGTGACGTCACTCCACATTAGCCCCACCCCCCTCATTAATATTCATGAGTGGGTGGATTATTACACTAACGCAGAGGAAGGTCGAGCTGAATTAAATAATTTATCACGCAAAGTCGCTTCAAATATGACGACGTTTCTTTACAGAAAGTGACGGTGAAAAATAAATTTTCGCAGCATAGTGCTACATCTGTGCGTGACGTCACTGCAAAAGAGCCCCCCCCCCCTTCATTAATATTCATGCACGCGTGGAAATTTACACGAACGCACAATAAGTTCACGCACTCCACATGCCGCACCCCTCCCCTAATTAATAACCATGAGCGGATGACGTCACTCCACATGCCGCACCCCTCCACAATAACATTAGCGGGTGACGTCACTCCACATGGGGCAACCACCCCCCCCCC